GTTTTGTTTGCTACTGAAATAGTCTGGGGAGAAAAGGTCTGGTCAAGATTATATTCAGATTTTCTCCCAAGAATGGCACAGGAAGAGAAACAATATTTTTGGATATTTGTGATCTCCTTACATTTTTAAGACTGATTCAAGGAGGAATTGACACTTTGACACCTGAGGCTAGAAGAGAAGTTGCCTCCAGCCATACTGATTTTCATGACAGCTTTCCTGGGTATGTTGCTGGCTGAAGACTGGAAAGTCAGGAAAGACAGACACTGAGTGCTGCATTTGTGATATTTAGCATCCAACAGCAGATTGGAATACTCTTCCTGCAGTGATATGGATACCCAAGTGACTGAAAAAGTGAAGACAATGACTCACCTTCAGGTTACACATTCAGGAACTGGAAGGAGTTGAATAGAAATGTGTTTGCACTGTTGCTAGGGAAGTTGTTTAATCCTTGGGGCAGATTGTAATCACACTTCGTGTAAAGGCCATGCATTGAGAGACCAGGATGAGCAGCTGGTAAGGTACCATAGGAAAGTTTAACCTTACTCTGAGAGAAACTAATGGAGGAAATCCCACCACAGAAGACAGACCCTGAACAAAGAAGGAGCAATTTGAGGCTGCTGGTTTAGTACCCAATCTGCAACAGAAAAATACCACTTCTGCTATTGATGTTTAATGTGCAAGTTACAGGTTAAGGAGAATGGCCTTTAAGATGTAAAAGACTACCTCTGTGAGCAACAAAACTGTACACACTGAACATTTTACAGCAGCACCTTCCCCAAGATGATAGAGGAAATTAGTATAGCCTTTGAATCATACAATGCAGCCTGTAAAGAATGGGCCAAAAAGACAGAGGCTCTTTTACATTAAATTCTATCTCTTTGCTCAAGTAGCACATTATATCCTCATACATTGCAAGGATCTTGACTTCACTGCAAGAGAAGTCTTCACTTGTCTTTCACTGCAAAAGAATAGATTGGGCTTTGTTTCATACCATTATTTCTACATGCATCTTCTTATACTAAGTCTATACCTTAGGTAGCTTGCTTTCTTTCCAAGCAGTCAACATTTGAAACAATAATTTGTACATGGTCTATACACTGTCAAATAGCTCCACTTTAAATCATCATATAGCAGTAGAGATAATCAGGTAATTTGCATTTGTTAATGATTGTATGGTTGAAAAAATAGAGAAAATATATCAACCTAATTCATGTTTATATGAGTGTTATACACTCATTTATAATTTAAAAAAAAAACCCCAACATAAATAACAGAAAATATTTTGTGCTTTATAAATTTTTAAATGGCATATTCAGAAACTACCAAATTAAATATGACAAGAAAAGACAGATTCATAGTCCCACTTCTGTGCTTAGAAAACAGCAAAATTTACATGCTTACTTGCATTCCTCTATGAAAAATGTAGTTACCTTAAAATATTTTTTTTCAAAAGTTTTTACTGGAAATACCACAGCAGAGGAGGGCAAAGCCCTGATTAGCAAGATGAGGTAAAAAATAGCAAGACAACCAAATGGACACTTGGTAACTAATAGTGTGTCAAGTTTGTATAAACTAAAGTGACCTTATATTTACTTTGCATTCCCAAAAGGTAACTAAGTATAAATGAGCTTTAGGGTTTTATTTTTTTTTTTTTTATTTTTTTGCCTATTGAAGGAATAATTATAATTAGCAATGCGGAGAAGGTTCTCTGTCACTTTCTCAGAATCACCAACAATTTCAAACTTTGAGATACATATTTAATGTGCTTGGTGCAGAAGCAGTACTACTGATAACCAGCTATCTCTGAAGGATGCTTCCCAATTTTCTGTAGATTGCAATGCAGCATCTGTAACGATGTCAAGTACTAACAGTTCTCACGCCTCATTCCTAAGCCAATCCCACACAATTCATTAAAGTTCTTGGTTTCACCTGCTCTAGGAAGGAGCCATAAATAGCATCCTTGTGAGAGATGCTTCCATGATTTAATGCTTTTCTGCTTTTCTGAGTATGAATAGTATAACGTTTTTGGGGAGTTGAGTCCACCTCAGCTAGACCCAGTGATGCGCCTTTGGAGATATCTGTAACTTTTCTTAAAGATGGATGCTTTTGTCATCTTGCTTCTTTTAAGGCACTGTGAAAGATTCAATCTTAAGAGGAAAGACAGAATTTAAGGAACAATGCAGTAATGAGAAAATCCTGACTTCTACAGAACTGTTGAGATAATTCTTATCGAGGATAACTCTAATAATGAAAATGTAAAATATGATTTTGAGAATGAAATTAACAAACATGTGCCTGGTACATTTGTGTTAATCCAGGCTAATGAATAGGAACAATAGCCTTTTTTGAAAAAAACTACATGAAAATCTCAGATTCTCACTTAATAAATTACATAATATTTAAAAGGAGGTTATTGATTTTATAAAGAGGGGTGTTTATGGAGGCACTGAAACTCTACACTACAATAATCTCCAAAAGAGAGCTTTACAAATTAGATACTTTGAAATGTTTTCAGAAACTAAACCTTCTCATAAATGACTCAAACTATAGTAATGCAGGGAATTCCACAGCTACAGAACATTTTCTGCATTTCCCATTTTCTTTATAGCAATATGAAATCAAGGTGGAAGCAGAGAAGTATTTTATGGCTGCAAGACAATCATAGAACCTCATACTGACAGACTTAAAGAGGGCCCAAACAGAGAAAACTGTGAATGTGCCTGGACAAAGAAACTGCAGTCAGCCTATAAAGTGAAAGAAGGTATTTACAGAAGTTCTAGAAAAGCTTAGGGGGGGAAAAAAGTTACATCCTGATGTATCACATCAATCTGCCTGCCAGAGTTCTCTTACTGTCTTCACATGCATTCAGTACAGGGCTAGAATCTAAGCCCCAATATAAGAACAATAAAAGAAACAGCAGGACCATACATAGTTACAATATGACTTCATTTTATTTTTTTTAATAACCAGAAAAGAAACAGCCCCTTTGGAAAGGATTTAACTTCCTAGAAAAGCTTTTTTTAAAAAAAAGTGAGTTCATTGAAATTTCCCAAATTGTAAATAAGAAATTGTTGTCTTCCACTGTCTATAAATATTTTACTTTCCATGTTAGAATTTTATTTGATGAGCAGCTATTGAACTCCATTTGAGATAAAATTTTCTCATATAGTATTTACTTTCCAGCTGCTTCAACTAATTTACAAAAAAATGGAAAAAGTGTAGCATAAAACCAAAGTATTCACTATCTACCCTGCACCTGTCACTGAAGTGGATGACTGTACAGCTTTTTACCACAGGACTTAATTCAAGCCCCAAAAATAAACTCTTTTCATCACGCTCCTGTCTGTGAAACTCTAATTCAGCATTACATATGGGAATTTTCCTATCAGCATTCATAAACACCACACATTGTAGCTAGGAAGAGAAACTAAGCTTATCTCTGATGGTTTTGTTAACACCATCCAACATCTTCCACAACTTCTCAGCTGAAAGGGCTGTTTTATCTCCAATCCCCCTTTTATCCTGATATTCTTGCTTAGCCGCATTTTGAAGCCCCTTCTCATGAATGCAGCTTTCAAAATCAAGGGGGGAAATTTTCCTGACCGGTAACAGTGTTCCTTCCTTGGATAATTCCCAAGTGCATTTAACAAAGGGAGAACTTACCACAAAAGAATGAAGTTTTCCCTTGCAGTGTCCATGGAAGGAGTGCTCTAACCCTAATGTCCGACTAACACTGCACAAGACAGAACATACCTTCTGTACCATTTCTGATACCTTCAATCACTTCCTTAGATGCAGAGGATACACAGAAAAACTCGCCTTTTCTACCCCCCTTTCTTTGATGAGCTCACGTAAGTATTCTAACGACAGCAGATGGCATGGCACTACCCAACCTCCAATTAAACAACAGTGAATTGAAAACACAACTGTAGACTTTGAAAATGCTCCTGTGCTTGATATGTGGCTTTACAGCAATATGTCTGAGGTGAGATATTAAAGAACACAGGGTACTGAGGTCACTAAGTACCAGTAAAATCCTACAATGGGTTGGTTTGGGTTGGAGAGGACCTTGAATATCATCTAGATCCCACCATGGGCTGGTACCATGTGCTGGTATCAGAACCGGTTCCAAACACAGCACCACATATGCGAGGACAAATTGCTACACTGAAACAACAGAACCCACTTCCCACCGTGAGAATGAAGAGCTAGGGACACTTTCTGTAAGGCTGAACATCCTTTTTTATGTTGGGCACATAACAATACAGAGCTAACTTCAGAAGCTTAACCAAGGGGTTCTTTGTTAATCTCTTTAATGGTATTTTGAGGCAGAAAGGAAAGCATCAAGAAAACATACTGAGGGATTTTCTGTCTTTCAAAAGGACAACATGGCAGCTGGACTAGATGACCGATGGAAGGTCCCTTCTGACTGAAGTATTCTGTTCTAGTCTATTCTAGCATGCCTTGCATTTCCATCACCTGGATTTGCCATTCTACTGTCTCTTCACTCAGAGGGTCCTTCTGAAGCTTTTCAATTGATCCTATTTCTAACTTATTTTCAAACTTCAGAGCTCCAAACCCCAACACAGCCCTTTTGATATAGTGCTGTCATAGAAAAGACGTGTGATGTGCATTGTGCAAGATCTGTGTTATGCGGACAGGTCTCAGCACAAACCGCTGCGTATCTGCAAAGACAATGCAAAAATGTAGCATGTATTTTTACTCTCTGTTTTCCAAGTTTCAGCCATCTGTTTATCCTTTCACAACCCTACTACTTGTGACACAGCTGCTTAGCTTCTTGAATTTCTGGTTTGGGAATATCTTGAAAATTTCCTGAGGAATCAACAAGAGAATTTTTAGTGATGTTATTCTCCACGTGCAGGGACACATGATGTCATACAGCTAGAATGAAATTTAAAACTGGAATTGCAAAAAGGTTTATCTAAAATTTGAAAGCAAAAATAACTAGCCACATCCCAAGTCAAAATAATTTGCTTTACCTGGTTCTTTTCATAGCTGCTTTGCCTTCATGAAGCATACTTCAGAAGCTTAAAAATTCATCTTCTCAGGATACATGAAAAACAAAATCAATGTCAAAAAGCTGCATCTAAAACTTTCAGATGCATCAAAGAAGCAAAATTACGAGCGACAATGCTAAAGACTGACAGAATGCAAAGAAGCTTTTAGTTAGAATCCAATTTTCTGAAAATTAAAGTACAACTATCAAAGGGGTAGCAGTATTAAAATGAAGGTTGAAAACTGTCAATTTTTGATAGAAAGATTACTTTTAAAGTGTTAGAAACTAGTCAGATGTTTCTAAGTCAAATAAGAGCACATTAACAGCTTAAATGTTCAGGTTTACATGGGATAGATGCACACTAAAATACAAAGAGAAAAGTTTCTAAGAAAAAGCAGCTTGCATCTTACAGAAAGGCAGAAGAGGCTGTCAAAAAAACCCAAAATTCCATAGAACTGAAAAACCATGTAATTAGAATTATTAACATAAAGGAACATGCCACTTAAATCAGGTACGATTAATTTATCTGTTTAATGAACCAGTGCAAGGAATTCTGAAATCTGTTTTGGCAACCTATGCATGGTGATCTAGGCACAATAAAAAAAGTGGGCGGAAAAAAGGGGGCAGTGATTTTCAGTGTATTCTCAATTTTTTCTAAATCCACATATTCTATAAGAAGAAATTCTTCAGGACTGATACAGAAAAAACTAGTGAATACATCCATATAGAGGAGCTCTCTCCATTTCTTTCTTTTAGAAAGACCTTCTAGATCCACCATTTACAGTAGTATAGTTTTTTGATTTATTCAAGGTAAACTACAAAAACACAGACAGCTGTTAGACCAGTACAGGTCTAACAGTTAGAAGGCAGAAGACAGAAACCAGTTCTTCCCTTCTTTTTTCCTCCTTCACTTGTAGAGTTTCAGAAAAAAAGCCAACAAAAAAACCCCAATGAAAACAAAAACCCAATCCCAAACCCTCTCCTCCTAACCACCGAAATATGGCTCCTGCCATCATTATCAGGAATACAGACTGTCATTTACCACCAGCTGGCATGCAGGTTATCTTATTTATATGTGTGATCTGAGATAGAATTACTCCAGCTTGCAGCATTTTTCTTCCACTATGCATGATTCCAGATGACAAGCCTGGGAAACAGAGTCCAGCTACCAAAATGTTTGATATTATTGCCTCCACAGACTCTGATCACATTTCAGACCATGGCTGGCCAGTGTCCAATGTCCATATGCTAGTCCATCTAATGGGAAGATACCTGGCCAGTGACTTCAGACCGAATAACAGTTTGACTTCCAGGGGATGGTAAGAAATTTACCGGACCTAAGAAGGATTCTTTGACTAAACTCCTGGTCCAGAGGAAGGAGGGAGAAAAGGACTGGGCCTGACTTCTTTCCCTGTTTTCATAGGGACTTCATAGAGTATGAAACTAGTGAAAACATGTCACAGTACAGAATTATTTCAGGACAAAGAGTAAACAGCTCAAAGGCAATCATGCTTCTAGACAGTCCACATGCTAAAATTTTAACCAGATTGAAAAGGTAAGGTAGACACATTCCTGGAAATATGTCTAAAAGTCATATACAAAGGCATGACAACAGGCTCTGGTAAGTCTTGAAATACTCAAAGAGAGTAGGAGAATATTTCAGGAAATGTCACTAAAAAGATGATGTTTCCTGTCCTTATGTTCTTTCCTAGGCATTTGTTGGGAGCTACTGTCAAAGACAGACTTTTGGGCAAGATGGAGCTGAGGTATTTCCAAAATTTATCATACATACAGCACTGGAGATAACAGCACCTCTAACACCTCTCAAATCTTCTTTTTTTTATGTTAAGGGTAACAAAGGCATAATTCATTTCTACCTGCAAGAGCTCAAGACTGAGCTATTGTCCCTTCTACTGGCTTCTGTTATCAAATAATAGTTGTCACTCGCAGTGGAGAGCAGGGCTTGAGTGGCACCATCACCATGTAGACTAATATTTTGAGATTGACACAGATGTCATCTCAGTAAAGGTTAAGAATGCTGTACACATCATTAGAACAAGTCTGACCTACACAATGTACATTTAGCTGTTAGAACCAGTCAGGGAATCCACAAATCTTCCCTGGCTGTCCACAAATCTCTGTAGACACCTATGCACTGCAATTGCTAGTTATAAAAATTAAGTAGAGAAAGCCACATAAATAGACTCCATATACTACCCCAAGACAAATGGGAACCCCCCTTGAACATATCCCCTATAAACCTGGTTGTTTTCAATACGGATGATTTGCAGTTATATTTTCTACAACTGGCCACAAAAAGACTCAGATTTTACTCACTTAGGCTGAAGTCATTATTCAGGTATGAGCTGGGGATTGGCACACTTTAAAGAAAAGTATCATTCTCCTACTCAGTAAGAACAAGTGCCCAGAAAACTGAAGAGCAGGCATCAGATATCCCAGGCTCTAGACAGAAAAATTCAAGACCCAATCCTGATCTCAGCTCAACAGGACAACTAAGTTCAACACTCTGTGTAGTGAGGAATAACACTTGATGAAATCAAACATACAAAGAATCATCCTTCACAAGACAGCAGTTTCTTTCAAACTTCATAGTATAATAGGATCACAGATGCCAAATTACAGCATTTCATGTTAGCTTGTGAAGCTGTATTCCCTAAACCAGGATAACCCTATATAAGCACTCTGGGATCACAGCTTCACTAGTGGTGAAGTTACAGTGACATCACATCTAGGCATTTACTACAAACCAATGGCTTGCATAAACAGCACAACACATTCAAGAGATAAAGCAGCTCAAGAACAAGGAAACCTATGCTGTGAAAATCCCAAATCTTCTGATGTAGCTGCTTACACCATCTACACTCCTGTTTATATGCAGCAGGAATGCAACCTATCTTTCTGAAGAGTCTCAGGCTTGGGAAGAACAGACATGAGCCAGTACCCACTAATCATCTCAAGGGACAGATGTAGTCAGTGGACACATTTTCCTCCAAAGTCTTTTTCTGATTATGCTACAATGTCCCCTGTTATTATTCTCTCTTATATCTAAATCTATTATTCTTTGCTGCACAATGATCTAACATGAAACAGACTGGCTTGAGACTGAACCTATCTAATATTAATCTCCAGTTAAGGCAGTCTCTGGTAAGGTGAAGTAGTATGCTTCCACAGCTAGTAACTTTCTGAATTTGGTTTCCCACCTCCCTGTCTTTTTTAGTCTATAATCAAAAACATGGCTAGGTCATCTATAACTTTTTCCAAGTTACATTAAATAAAATTCAGGACTTTCCTGTGTAAAGCAACTCCTTTGCTTCTGCTCTGGAGACAGAATTTTGAACTTTTAAAATTTATAGCCATTGCCCTATTTCACATTAACTGTATGTGCACTATACACAGTCATAAATTATTTTAAAGATCTATTGCACAGTAGATCATATTCAGTATTGGTAAATGCCTCCCAAAATATTCCTAGTAAGAAATACCCCTCAGAAAAGGAATACCTTGCTAGTTGTTGTGAACAGGTAAGCCCTCTTTATAAGACTGTATTTGGTCTTACGCGTTTTAGAAGCTTGTATGCAAAGTTCAATGTTACAAACATCATTTCCTTTTTGATAATCTAAGAAGAATTAGATTAAATTTCATTTGTTTTTACTCAGCATGCAGCAGGTAAATTGCAATTATTTAAAAAACTTCCAAGAACTTTAAGAAACACAGTCCATATATACAATGTAAATTCTTAAAATAAAATCCTGAACATAATTGGTTAAAATACGTCAGTATGAAGAAACTTACATTCATTTGGTCATGACCCATAATTTTTCAGGACGGTAGCTCGGGCGTGTGAGGTATTTGCAAAGATCACGAATTCTCCTCCTAAGATTTAGCATTTTACCTGTCCTTGACATTTGCTAATATTTATGATCTCTATTATTACCTATGCATGTATCCTGTACTCATAGTATTTTAAACAGGTGGGATACATTTTAAAAATAGCAATATTCCAAACATCCAATACTTACAAATCTATAGGATTTGTAATAAGATTGACTTTCAATGAACTCCAAAAAAGAATTTGTCTTTTTGCCTATGCAACGTGTGCTACATATCTGCTTTTACAATTTCTTACAGAGTGCATTAGCAGCATATGACAACAACTCACTTCAGATTTAGCCTTCTCTCAGCTACCCCCTTTTACAGAGAATTTTCAGTGCCAGGCTATTAACTAATTTTAACAGCAACAGCAGCCCAATCCACTTCTGGTACTTTATTTTTCAGGATCCTTGGGACAAAAAACAAGGAACAAGGACTATACTGGAGAAGCCCTTCTGATGGTGGCACATTTCCAGTGAGCTGATTTCCAAAGGACCAAACAGTCTACTTCCCGTCATAGTGGCAAATGCAATCTCATGCCAAAGCAGAATCCATAAATTTTCAGAAAAAAATAGTGACTGGCACTGGACAACCATAACAGAATGATCCACAGCCTTTCCCTACTGGCTCACAAAGATCTTTATGAGAAGTTCAGGAGTAGGGCAGCTAATCACTTGTTTTTGAGAGCAGCAGCTCACTCCAGACTACTTGGAGTAGCACACAAAGTGTACAGTGAATACAGAATAAGCCTAATATTTCTCACTTGGGGAAAACTTTTTTAAAAATTACTTTTAAGATTTTATTTTCAGCAATATAAGGGGGAAATTTAGGCCCAAGCAGTTTGGTAAATGCCCTCCCCTTGTCCAGTTACTGTGACCTTGTTTGTTACTTACAAAGGAAAACAAAGATATGGTATTTTTGTTTGAACTGACTGCTAGGATTGCTTTTGATTAGTAAATTAAATGCAAGGTCAAGCTGCTTTAGCAACAAGGAGTTTTGATAAGGTGCTCCCCATGGTTGTGTTACAAAAACATGATGACCTCAATGTTACTATGAACTCAGGCTTAATGAAAATGTGAAAAAATGATTTGTGTAACCAGGAAATATTACATAATCAGAGTGTATCAGCAAGTCTAGCAGAGAAA